GTACTTTTTTTATTAATCATAGTTTGTAAACACAGTTGTTGTTGGCCTTTTGGGAAAGGAGTTGCACTATGAAGAGTTTGAACTCACAAGCTGCTCCCTGGGAGAAAAAAGAGTCTCTTTCTGTGTAATTTCAGTCTCTGGATACCCACTGGAAGGTCACCCATGAGTTGATTTTTTTTTTTTTTTCATTGTAAAATTTTCTGTTTTTAATGGCAGGTCAAATATCCAGAAACGTACATATATTGATAGTCTTCTAATCCCAGTTGAGTTCAAATATTAAAGTAACACTTTTATATGACATACAATTTCTTTTCTATATTGAGCTATATGCTACAATTTTGCTTCACTTTTTAACTCTAATAGATTTTATGTATGTAGATTTTTTAGACCTTTTGTATATAAGATCATATCATCTGCAAATAGAGTTTTACTTCTTCCTTTCCTATTTGAATATTTTCTGTATGTTTTTTGGTTTTGTCTTATTGTCTGGGACAATGCCAAATATAATGTGAGAGGTGACATCTATTTTTTATTACTGACACTGTCTTGCTATTTCTTACTTCTTCATCCTATTTTTATTCCCTTTGGTAAATGAATTGCATATTGTTTATAATTCTCTTATCCCTTTGCATGTGTCATCAAATATATGCCTGTTTTGTGGCTTCTGTGGGTTTAAAATATATTTAAACTTTTCACTCTTCAATTTCAATAATATTACAGTGAAATCTGTCAGTTTTGGAACTCTACCTTGTTTTTGTAGGTCATGCAAGTTTTTCACCTTTGACAAGGTGCAGTCTTAATATTTTTCTGTCAGTGTCTGCTGGTGGAAAGTATTTGAATTTTCTTTTTTAGATCTCTGCCTTATAGAGTTTCTAGCTTTTGTAGGTTTTACTTTATTTTGTTTAATATACTCTGTCACACCAGTTCTAGCATATACTTCATTTTCACCAATTTTGTCCTTTATGCTCGTTTTGTTATTTATTCTGTATAAGCCATGAGACTTAGTTTATATTTTCCCCTTTAAGTAGCCACTTAGTGTTTAAAAAGAGACAAAAAGTCCTTTTATTTTTAGCCACATGTTTAAAGTGTCCTAACACCTGTCATTCCATTATGAAGGTCGGGTTTCTTTTTTATATTTCATGTAATTCAAAATTTTAAGAACACTTTATACTGTCATATATTTGGAAGTTTCCCTCCAAAATGAATATTTCCTTGTATTTTTATGATATTTTAAGTGTAATAAAGTTATAGTCACTATATTTATGTCACATGTCTTTTTCCTGCTAAATTTTAGAATCTTCTCTTATTGGTTGTCAAATATTTGATGATTTGATTATGGCATTTTTTTGGATATGGTTTGTCTGTGTCTCTTTATTCTGCTTTCTATTCATTGAACTTATTAGATGTGTGGGTTTATTATTTTCATCAAGTTTAGAAAACCTTAGCCTTCCTTTTTATCATTCCCCACCCCCCATGCCCATTATTTTATTGTTCCAATTACACATATGCTCAATTAATTGTTGGTTTGTTGTAGTTTTTTTTCCACAGGTTACAGAAATTGTTTATTTTCCCATTAATATTTTCTCAAAATTTTCATTTTGATAGATTTTATTACTCTTGTACAGTATGAACTCCTCTTAATTTCATCAAATGAGACTTTAATTTTCAATAGCATTTTCCCCTTTGGAAGTTCCATTGTTGGTTTGTGGTTGTGTTTTTTTTTTTTTTTTAATTAATTTTATATTTTCCGTTTTTCTTCTCATTGTTTTATTGCTTTTATTCAAATACTTTGACATAATTAAAATAGCTGCTTAATACCCTTGTTGCTGCTAGTTTAAGAGGGTTTTTTCCCCAACTCAAGATTTGTGTCTGTGTACTATTTTTTAAAATTGTAATTAAGTCAAGCTTTCCTCTTTTTTTAGCATGCCTAGTAGGTTTTGCTTGGGTGCGAGACAGTGTTATTTATGTAAGTTATTCTTACATGTCTAAATTTTATTATCTTCCTTTCGTAAGTGTAGAATTTAGCTTTTGGTAGCAGTAAGGTATTTGTGGATTATTTTGATGCTTCCAAGTTTCGAAAGTATAATTTATTCAAGCTTTGAAGGAGTGTTTTGAGGAATTTAAAGATGTGGTCGTAGATAGTTGTGCTGCTAACCCAAAGGGCAGGCCACTCTGCCAGTCTGACTCCCCATGCAGCTTTTCAGAACGAAGATGGACCACCTCCTCCTGTGTGATTTACAGCCTCAGAAGGATGGTCTGCTGGATTGTCTGCTGTGAATCAGTTTCGAATTAAAGGCAATGAATTTGAGTATTCCACATAATAAGGAGCTCTGGTGGCCTTTGCACTGCTACTTCAAAGGCGAGTCGGTTTCAGATTCACAGGTGATACTGAGGGAGAAAGATATCTAGTCTCCTTTCATTTCTGTTTACAGCCTTGGAAACTGATTTAAGCACGGCTATGAGTCAGACCTGACTTGATGGAAGTTAGTTAACAAGACACCAAATAGTATTTAGCCCTCTTTCTCTACAGAGTTCAGATAATCGCCAAGATCTCTTTACTCTGGGGGTTAAAGCTGGACTATTTACCCTGACAGCTGTGGAGATCTTTCCATTTACAACTCCATGTTGGTTTTTTTGAGTCAGCTTAGTTCTCAGTGGAAAACCTATACAGATTTGTGGAGTGCTTCTCTTGTGCAATTTCTCTTTAGAGTTCGCGCCCCAACATCTCCTAATTGCCTCAGCCTTCTCAACTATGCTATCTTTCTTCTAAACTTAGCCTCAGTACCTTCTGTCTGCATCATTGAGTATGCAGAAAGCCAGAGCTTACTTTGTGTTTTCCTTTTGCTCGGGAACCACAATCCTCTACTAGCTGTTGTTGTTTGTCCAGGTTCCAAATTGTTTATAGAAGCAGGTTCTTGAATTTTGTTTATAGTTTGGTTCTTGTACCTTTGTCATGGCAGAAAGTGCACACCCTCTGAAAAATCTCAAATTCTCTGCCTTCATGTTACTTCCAACTCCATCAAGATTTTGAGACTGGATGGGTTATGAGGTTCAGACAGCCGCCTTGTAAGTGATTAGGTAAATGCTTTTAATCACAGTACCACCAGGTGGTCTTTAGTTGTACTACTCTTTATATAATGATCGTAAATTACATAGTAGTTTTTATAATGTGCACATGGTGATTATCTGGCTTTATTCTTTATCTATTCATATATTTTCAACACATTTTCTATAATAATTGCTAAAAAAGCTCAAAGTATGAAAATGGCACTAAACAACTAAAGCTTAAGAATTACTATGTATGTGTTAACTCCCACAAACCAAAATCTGCAAGAGGAATAGGTGACTGGACAGAGTGCTTCTGAAAGATTTTTGTAACAGAAATTACATTTGCTAAGAGTTTGTTTCTTTTCCTTTTATAATACATTAATATCTTTCCAATACTAAAATTAAGATTTACAGGGGAAATCTCCACAGCTCTCCCAATTAAAAGCTCCATGATAAAGGAGAAGATCTTGAAGTTGTAAACAATCTATTTTTACTTGGATCCACAGTGAACACCCATGGAAGCAGCAGCAGTGAAGAAATTAAAGGGTGTCTTATGTTGGGCAAATTTACTGTCCAAGAATTTAAAATCTTCTTAAAGTATTAAAGAGCAGGGATGACATTTTCAGAAGTGCTGTCTGCCTGACCCAAGCCGTGGTATTTTCAGTTGTTTTGTTTGTATGAATAGAGAAAACTGAAGAAAAGTTGATGCCTTTGAATTGTGGTATTGGTAGGAAAAATTTAAGAAAGTAAGTAAATGAAAACCAAGACTGTCTTGGAATACCTGTTGCCAAGGCGCTCCTGAGAATCAAAGATTGAGAGACTTGGGCTTACACATTGAGCCATGCTGTCAGGATGAGCCAGTCCTTAATCCAGAATTAAGGTTGCATAGTGAAGTGCATTTGGGGGTCAGCAGGGGCAGAGGCGGGGGTGAGTGGGGATTGTGTACCAACAAAGAAGTTTATCTTTTGCTTTTCAAAGACAGGAGTGAACTGGGGGGAGAGGGGTAAAGAAAAAAGTGCAAAAATGAATGAAAATCCAAAATCTCTGTAAATGTTCATTAAAATGAATTTTTTAAAAAGCACACACACACACACACACACACACACACAAAACAATAAAGGCAATAATAGATACATTTTAAAAAAAAGGCAGCATGCTTTGGAAATAGAGGGTGAGCAAAAGAGAGGGAGAGCTGCAATAGAGAGAGTGTGGTGGCACACAGACTGCAGCACCAGGCTGAAGCACAGTAGAGGTTGTGAGGCGGGCACAGAGTCAGGCAAGGTTCACATCTGTTGTATATGAAGTCACTGAGTTAACATCGAAGCAACAATAGCACCTTACCGTAATAGTGAAAATTAGTGTGGTTTAGAAGCTTATTTTTAGTAATGAACAATGAAATATTTAATCCTATGGCTTTTTAAAAAATGTAGTACTCTCTTAAGGAAATCTTAGTCTAATGCAGAGAAACCTTTGTATTATAAACTGTGACAATTAGAAATCAATTTCAGTATGTCCTTACTATTAGGTCATATATCTAGAAATTGCATTTTAAAGATAATTTCCAGATTTGAACCTTAACATTGATAAACAGATAAGTACTTTTCTCTCAGGTTATATTTTTAATATTCTTTAAAATAAAGTTATTATTAACATATATCATTGACTTGTTAAAAAGTTGTCATTTTGATTTTCGTTTTTAAAAAGCTATCTAGACACATAGTTTAATAAGTATTTTTAAAGTATGCATGTAAATACGTGTTTTGGTAAGGAAAGGTGTGAAGAGAGCATTGATATTTATTTAAGAATCAGACATTTTATGTAATTTGAAATAATTTGTAGTAATTTATCATTCCTCTCCAACATCCTATAAAAATCTAGTAAAAGGTTTCTTTTATGTGAAAAAATATATTTCTGTGTATGATCTTTGTTTTAATAAAGTTCTTTTCTTACAGAGTTTGTCAAAACATAATAGGAGCAATATTGGAACCGAAGGAGGACCACCTCCTTTTGTGCCTTTTGGACAGGTAATATTTTCATATTAATAGATGAATTTTAATCGGAAAAGAATATTTTCCCTGTGTATTTAAACTGTATTAAGATTTATGCTGAACTGTTAATTTAGATGATCATGGAGTTAAATAAAAATAAAGTACAAGAAAGATAAGTAGTTGTTTTTTAATTTTTTTACTGTAATGAATTGTTGATGTAGATTTTTCTGAATAGCTATCAGGTGAAAGATTGAAAATAGCTATCAGGTGAAAATGAAGAACTCCCTGAAGAGCAATTTTTCAGCCAGTTAACATTGTATGACAGTACTGAGAAAGAAAAAGTCAATGCTGAGATGACTACAATATGTTCGGATTTCTTATTTCATTAAGAAAAAATAAATGAGAGAAAAGAAAATTGTAGAAAGTGGTAAGAAACAACGGTGAGAGTAAAGTAAAGACAAATAAGCAGAAAAACAAATGAAGGAGGGATGCACATTAGCTAAGCCTACTGTCACAGCTGTCCCTTCCAACGCTCTGTTCTCTCCTGATATAAATGCTCATTCTAGTTATCCAGAGACTTACTTTTCTTTCCAGTTTTCATTTCCTCTTCAACCACAACAGCTTTGATCCTTTATCCATGGAACCTATAGTTTTATGCCTTTTTTTACTGTTTTTCCTTCTTTCACCTTCCTTGGTGCACGCTGCTACCTTGAGGTATCTTTTCAACAGGACAGCATCTTGTGTCTTCTTGGTTATTCCCAGCATTAACTTGCACCCCCAACATATCCCCTTACCCCCTCCTTTCCTTATCCATAAGGATCTAAGTATTAATCTCTGGAGCTGCTTATTCTTTATCTCAATGATGATGTACCCCTAAAATTTAGTTATTTGTAATATATCTTGCAGTTACCTTTTATTTTCTCTGGAGAGTACTGGGTTGAAGTGAGTTTGAATTAGGGATGTAGCAGGTAGGAAAGAAAGACATATCTGTATAACAATTTGGTTTTTATTTCTAGTGTAACAGTTGTTGAGATAGTGAGTAGGATCATCTGACTTAAATATCTTAAAAGGCTTTTTATTTGATTTTTGTTTTGTAACATTACTCAAACTTAATTTATACTTACATGATGGCTGTTTTGAATACATTTTAGAAATATGTTGGGTTTTCGATAGGATTTTGAAACTGGCAGTCAAGATAAAAAGATCATCTATGTAAATGATCTCTTCTCAAAGTGTAATTAAAAGCTCTCAAATAAGCACAGTACAAAAGTTCTATTAATATATATTAGAGAAACAATGATACACTTTTTTAGGAAATTATTTTCCCCCTGGATATTCTGGTGATATTTCTTTCATAGTGATTTGGGATACTTACTCAGCTTTTCCTCTTCTGAGGAATGATCTAATTTTTAAAAAGAATTTGAGATGTATTTTATAATTTTGGAAGAGGGTATTGATCGAGACTGTAATAAAGATGTGCTGCTGCTATGGTAGTGTTATTTGTGCACAAAATCTACTATGAAAAAAATACAGCCTATTCAGCTTTGTACATAAGATAATGATAGATAATGATGATTGCATTAATAAGGTATTTTTTTATGTTGTTGAAAATCTACAGAAAAACCTAGGAAAGCCAGAGCTGTGGAAGATGAAACCTGTCAGAGAAGAAAAACTTAAAATATTTCCACTCATAGACAGTGCTAGAAAGATTGTAAGACTATATTCTGTCAAAGGCAGAAAGTTAGATGAGCTAGAAAAAAGAAGACAGTCCTGTTAGAGTTCCACTTCTCGGAGGTTTTACTCTGTGTTGATTCATTGCAATCAAGTTGGCCAACTCAGAGCTGACCATGCAAAAACCACAAGAGATTAGCTATCTTTTCCTCTCTGAGCTGCTGGGGGATTTGAGCCATCAGAAAGTATCACCTTTGGGTTAGCAGTCTAACTCCATAAGAGCTCCCTTCACTGTCTATTGTGCTATATTAGGATAGCATATTATTTGAAAATTTACTTTCTTCTTTTTTTTAAGCTAATGTTTGAGAAGAGACTCACTTAATTTGATATTTTTTTTTTTTTTACCACTTGGTTTGGAATGGAGAACTTTTTTTTTATTTTACAGTAGTGCCCTTTTTATTTTATGAAACTTAAAATAAAAATCAGCTTGATGAGGAAGAGGGTGTATCTTTAATTTTTTGTTTTATAAGTTCAGAGACATCCTTTTATATGTTAAAAATAACTATACTGTCAAACTCTTATGTAATGGGAAAATTAAGAGTTTAATGAAAAAGCTGAATTTACCTCTTTTTGTGTGCTGCTTCAGACTGTTTAAGCTAAAAATTATGAAAAGTCATTATTTCCTATGTTGGAATTTAGAACACCTGTATTTTAAATATATATCAAGTATTAGATGGCCATGTTTTTATATAGATTTAGTTAATTTTTCTAGGTGTCTTTATTTAAGATACATTAATCAATTTCCCCCCTTTTTTTAAATTATGGGATAGTTTTGTATTTTTGGCGAACTTTGTAGAAGTGGTACTTTGCAGTGAAAAATATGAATCTCTTTGGAACTACTGGATTGATTATTTTAATTTACTGTTCCCAGAAATGTATATCTCATGCCCAAGTGGATAGCAGAGAACTTGATCGAAGAAAGACACTCCAAGTTACAATGCCTGTCAAGCCTTCAAATGATAATGATGAATTTGAAAAGCAAAGGACTGCTGCTATTGCAGAAGTTGCAAAGAGCAAAGAAGTAAGAAGCTTAATTACCACAAGCTCCTCTATTTTCTTATCATTATTTTTATTTATATGACTCATAATATTTCATATAACTAATTTAGCAAACTTTTAACGTTCTTCTGATATATGCCATAATTAGAAAATGCTTTGTCATTTTATAAGATCTTAGACTTAAACATTTTGATACTATTTTTCTAATATCACCTTGGCAGTTCCATTAAGTTACTCTTGCTAGTAATCCACTCTTCTTGTCACCCTCTTCCTTTTCTTCTTAATGATGCAATAATTGAAAAAATTCTTATTTGTCAGAGGGTTTCCAATCACTGTTTAGTCTAACATCACTTTTTCAGGATGATAGTATCAACTTGTGAGAAATGTGAGAGAGTAAATTAGTAGATTTTAAGATCACCTTCAGTTTTGCTTTTAATTCCATTTAATGTATAGTGAAAAAATAAATTGAATTACAGTCTTTTTTTACTATCTGAAAGTAGAGCTTTTTTGGAAAATATGTTAAAACCAGCGACATAAAGCAAAGAAACAGTTATCTTTAATTTTTATAGGAAAAATTTTTTTTAGCATTTCCACTCTGTAAAACAGTCTACTAAGGATTACCATATAGCACATAGAAGCTAAAATAACGCTAACATAGAGCATTCACACAGTTCAAAGCTACAGTGGCTTTATACTGAGATGCTGAAGTTCTTTTTATACAAGTAACTCATTGCCAGAAAGTTGCTACCGATTTGTATCTGACACTCCAGCATGCTTTCCCACTCTGCAAGTCACAGGGGAAGAGATTGTCCATTTTACATCAGTGGAATAATTAGTGGGTTTCATCTGCTTACCTTTGGATTGGAAGTGCAGCTCCTTACCCACTAAGCCACCAGAGTTACACAAACAGTACCTATAAACCATTTAAAATATTTTTTTGTTCTTCGAGAACTCCATAATAAAAAAGTGAATTAATCCATTTATAGGTCTTTAGTCTCTGAAAATATGATTTAAATTTGAATTAAACCTGTAGAATATATATAAACAAGCTAATAAATATCTGCTAATGTTGATTTAACATAATTTTCTGTTTGCAGGTGTATTTTCTCATGATGTTGTATATCATCGAGTTGGAACCAATTCATAGCAGACCCTCCAGTTGGTTTTCATAGATAGTAAATCACATGGGAGGAGATTGTCCATCTTTCTCCCACAGATAGCTGGTGAATTGAAACCACATGTCTTCAGTTGGCAGTGTAATTCCCTACCACTAAGCCACTATAGCTCCTGATTTCTTTATGTTATTTAATTCAGTGTCGTTTTCCAATATTCTATAAATAATATGTCTTATTTTGTGTATGTGTGTGTGTGTGTATGTGTGTGT